TTTTTTGGTTTTTCTCCGGTACCGGGAACTGAACTCACGACCTTGCGCTTGCCAGGCAGGCGCTTTGCCACTGAGCTAAATCGCCAGCCCTTGCCTAAAATTATAAACTGACTGTTCTGCTGGGCTCAGGGCCACATACCTGTAATCCCAGCTATTTGAGAGGTCAAGGCAGGATGATCACAAGTCAGAACTGAGCCTCAGGCAATTTAGGAAGACCTTTCCTCAAAATTTTAAAATAGCTGAGTGTGGTGGTACATGCTTATTATCACAGCACTTGGGAGGCTAAGACAGGAGGATCACTGTGAGTTCGGACTACATATCGAGTTCAGGGCCGGCCCTACCTGTATAGCAAGACCCTCTCTCAAAAATAAATAGCCAGGCATGGTGGCCCACACCTGTTATTCCAGCATTCGAGAGGCAGAGACAGGAGTTTGAGGCCAGGCTGAACTACGTGGTGAGATCCCGTCTAAATAAATGAATGAATAGCGTGGGGATGTAACTCAGTGTGAAGATGCTGGGTTTAATTCTCAGCATCACACACACACACACACAAAAAAAAAAAAAAAAAAAATGGGAAGAGCCCAGGAATGGGTGCAGCCTCCAGAATCGCCCTGGCGACCCTGGAAAGGAGCACAGCCTGCCTGCACCTGGATCCCAGCTCGTAGTGAGCCCACTGTTGCTCTCCTACCCCGTGTAACATAAATACCCAGCAGAGGCCACCAGGCTTAAAGGTAACATAGCATAGAGTTTACTGTGCCTAGGTGCAGGCAGAGAGCAGAGTAAGACGTCTGCCCTGAACAAAGAGAAGTGTGTCCCTTTTACAGGGATGGAGAGAAGGCAGGGGACGTTAGGCAGGAAGATCCCAGCGAACAGCTGTGGTTAAAGGTTTCTGGCAGTCTTGCATCTCAGTGGGCAGAGTCCTTTCAAGTGGCCCTTGTAAATTTTGGGGCATCTCCAGATGTCCCCAGGACCTGCAAACTTCCTTGCCCTATCTTATCTCCTTTCCTGTGTTTGCCAATGACAGCCTCAGTACTGAGCTAAGTTCCCTGCAGGGAGCAGTGCTCCTACTAGCAAGTAGGTCAGGCCGGGTTGGAGACTTACACCCCGTAGCACTAGAAGACGATCCAAGTGTTTTAAGGACTGACCCCAGGTTCAATTGCTGTGGCCACAATGCCAATACTGTAACAGAAAATGCTCCCCCATCCCACTACACTTCAGTTTTTTAGTTGCCCAGGTAACAGTTCCTGTTCCAGTTCCCCTTTGCTCCTGTCTCTTAGCAACAGCTGGTCACTGTGATGCACAGCTGGTCACTATGATGCACATTGTATAAACCCATCCCCAACTGCTAAGCCATTCTGCCTGTGTGCTTCCTGCTTGCTTGTCTCATATAAGCCCTAGACCACCAGAGACCGGGGCCTGCTGTTCTGTGAATGATGCTGATCAGTGCCCATTGACATTAATAAATCTGGGCTGGGGATATAGCTCAGCGGCACAGCGCCTGCCTGGCAAGCACAAGGTTGTGAGTTCAATTCCCAGTACCGGAGAAAAACCAAAAAAAAAAAAAAAAGACATAATAAATCTGCCTCCACATCCTGGGTGTCATTTCAGTGTTTCTGCTTGCTGTTGCAATATAACAGGGAGCCCCAGTGCAAGGGGCTGGGTCA